CAATTGAAATTCTGGGCTCAAGGGATCCTCCTGTCTCAGCTTGCTGTAGCTGGGACTACAAATGTGCGCCACCAAGCCTGGCTAATTTATTTTTATTTTTTGTAGAGACAGGGTCTTGCCATGTTGCCCAGGCTGCTCTCGCACTCCTGACTTCAAGTGATCCTCCTGCCTTAGTCTCCCAAAGTGTTGGGTTTACAGGTGTGAGCCACTGTGCCTGGCGTCTTTATTTTTGTTGTTATTATTAATTTTTTAGACAGAGTCTTGCTATATCACCAGGCTAGTCTCCAATTCCTGGGCTCAAGTTTCCTGAGTAACTGGGACTACAGGCATGAGCTACGTACCCAGCAATAGTATCACGGTTTTTAAAAGTCATTGAGGGCAGGTGTGGTGGCTCATGACTGTAATCCCAGTGCTTTGGGAGGTCGAAGCAGGTGGATCACTTGACATCAGGAGTTCGAGGCCAGCCTGGCCAACATGGTGAAACCCTGTCTCTACTAAAATACAAAAATCAGCTGGGCATGGTGGCGTGCACCTGTAATCCCAGCTTCTCAGGAGGTTGAGGCAGGAGAATCACTTGAACCTGGGAGGCGGAGGTTGCAGTGAGCCAAGATTGCTCCACTGTACTCAAGCCAGGGCAACAGAGCCAAACTCTGTCTCAAGAGAAGAAAAAAAGTCACTGAATAATGATATAAAATCACATTTATGCTTTAAAAAAAATCCAAAATATTTGGGAAATGAGCTAGGAGTGAGGATACAAAGTTTTCTGGGTTAAATATTTCACAACTAGTATATACTTATTAATACTTGTGGTTTAAAAAGTGTTTTTAGCCGGGCGCGGTGGCTCAAGCCTGTAATCCCAGCACTTTGGGAGGCCGAGGCAGGTGGATCACGAGGTCAAGAGATCGAGACCATCCTGGTCAACATGGTGAAACCCCGTCTCTACTAAAGATACAAAAAATTAGCTGGGCATGGTGGCACGTGCCTGTAATCCCAGCTACTCAGGAGGCTGAGGCAGGAGAATTGCCTGAACCCAGGAGGTGGAGGTTGTGGTGAGCCGAGATCGCGCCATTGCACTCCAGCCTGGGTAACAAGAGCGAAACTCTGTCTCAAAAAAAAAAAAAAAAAAAGTGTTTTTATTGTTTGGGTATTTTTGTAGAAATGGGGTTTCTCCAGGCTGATCAGGCTGGTTCTCTAACTCCTGACCTCAGGTGATCCGCCAGCCTTGGCCTCCCAAAGTGCTGGGATAAAAAGTGTATATATTTTTAAAAACGGAGTATCACTCTTGTTGCCCAGGCTGAAGTGCAATGGCACAATCTTGGCTCACTGCAACCTCCACCTCCCAGGTGCAAGCAATTCTCCTGCCTCAGCCTCCCAAGTAGCTGGGATTATAGGCATGTGCCACCACACCCAGATCATTTTTGTAATTTTAGTAGAGATGGGGTTTCACCATGTTAATCAAACTGGATGGTCTTGAACTCCTGACCTCAGGTGATCCACCCACCTTGGACTCCCAAAGTGCTGAGATTACAGGTGTGAGCCACAGCGCCCAGACAAAAAGTGTATATATATATTTTAGACGGAGTCTCCTCTGTCACCCAGGCTGGAATGCAGTGGCATGATCTCGGCTCACTGCAACTTCTGCCTCCCAGGTTCAAGGATTCTCCTGCCTCAGCCTCCCAAGTTGCTTAGACTACCGGCAAGCGACACCATGCCCAGCTAATTTTTGTATTTTTAGTGGAGACGGGGTTTCACCATGTTGGCCAAGGTGGTCTTGATCTGACCACCCACCTTGGCTTCCCAAAGTGCTGGGATTACAAGTGTGAGCCACCACACCCGGTCCAAAAAAGTGCATTTTTTAATAGCAAAAGCACAAAGGGATTTAAAAAGGGAAAGTGAGGGCCCTCAGGAGTGAAAAACAAGGGACTTCCCATGACAAAACCAGCCTCTGTTCATAATACAGCCCTTCCTCCACCCATTGCTACAGATCATCAGATCATGGGACTATCTCCTATGGCTACATGGAAAAGGAAGATGAGCTCTCCTGTCCCTATTCAGTTCCAAAGACCCCTAAAGTTACCTCAGTTACCTAAAAGACCCTCAGTTACCCTAAAGACCCTCAGTTACCAGGATGCCCTCAGAGGCCAATAAAAACATTCAAACATCCAACTCACATGGAAAAGTGGAAGAGGAAAATCAAAACAAGAGAAAATTCCCAGATTCTCCAACTAGACAGTTTAGATACCCGAGCTCAGGAATGACTACAATAAGCTCTCCTTTGGAGGTCTCCACATCATGATGCAAATTCAACCCCAACCCTAGGCTAAAAAGAAAACTTCCTGGCTGGGCACAGCGGCTCATGCCTGTAATCCCAGCATTTTGGGAAGCCGAGGCAGGCGGATCACGAGGTCAGGCAATGGAGACCATCCTGGCCAACATGGTGAAATCCCGTCTCTACTAAAAATACAAAAAATTAGCCAGGTATGGTGGCAAATGCCTGTAATCCCAGCTACTTGGGAGGCTGGGGCAGGAGAATCGCTTGAACCTGGGAGGCAGAGGTTGCAGTGAGCTGAGATCATGCCACTGCACTCCAGCCTGGTGACAGAGCAAAACTCCGTCTCAGAAAAAAAGCTTCCTGAGGGCCAGGTGTAATGGGCTCACACCTGGAATCCCAACACTTTAAGAGCCTGAGGCAGGAAGATTGCTTGAAGCTAGGAGTTTGAGACCAGCTTCAGCAACAAAACAAAACCCCATATCTATAAAAAAAAAAAAAAAAAATGCCTGTTGTCCTAGCTACCGGGGAGACTGAAGCAGGAGTATCTCTTGAGCCCAGAAGCTCAAGACTGCAGTGTGCCATGATACCTCCACTGCACTCCAGTGTGGGCAAGAGAGTGAGCCCCTGTTCCTAAAAAGTAAAATAAGATAAAAATAAAATAAATAGGAACTTCCTACCAAAGTATCTATATTTTCTTTTTTGATCTTAAGGTCATTTTATATATGAAAATGTTAAGCTCCAGTGATGTGAAATATCCTGCCCAAGTGCAGTAAGACAGAGGCAGAACCTACCTTCAGAATCTGCATCAATTTTTTCTTCTTTTATCTATTATAAAATGCTATACTGTCCTTTTATTTTTCTTGAAGACAATCACAGCTCTCTGCAGCCTCAACCTCTGGAGCTCAAGTGATCCGCCTGCCTCAACCCCACGAGTAGCTGGCACTACAGGTGCACACCACTATGTCAGGTTAATTTTAAAAATTTTTTGTAGCTTTTTTTTCTTTTTTGAGACAGAGTTTCGCTCTTGTTACCCAGGCTGGAGTGCAATGGCGCGATCTCGGGTAACCGCAACCTCCGCCTCCTGGGTTCAGGCAATTCTCCTGCCTCAGCCTCCTGAGTAGCTGGGATTACAGGCGTGTGCCACCATGCCCAGCTAGTTTTTTTGTATTTCTAGTAGAGACAGGGTTTCACCATGTTGACCAGGATGGTCTCGATCTCTTGACCTCATGATCCACCGGCTTCGGCCTCCCAAAGTGTTGGGATTACAGGCGTGAGCCACTGCGCCCGGCTTTTTTTTTTCTCTTGTAGAGACAGGGTTTCACTATATTGCCCAGGCTCTATTTTAAATCCAACATTTGCCTTTGTCCCCTTTAATCTTGACCCCAAACCCAGTCCTAACCCATAGTGGGCTCCTTTAATCTAGCCCTAACCCAGTGAAAATGGCTTGTTTTGCTTTCTGCACCTCCTTGCTCCCTCCTCCCATCTTCTCACCCAGAAATCTCCCATGCTTCCTTCTTGAAAACAGCAATCCTGGGCAAACAGGCAGGACTAGATTCAGACAGCCTGGCTCCTTTCTCCATCATTGTAGAAATGATCCTTACCAGGAGGACTTTGGAGTTCATGTCAAGCAGGCCATTGACCCTCTCCCACTGGATTCCTTACAAAAGCAGCCTCTTGACCACCGAGGAGTACAGCACGTTGTCCGTGCTCTTGATCCAACAGCCTGAGATCCTGAGATGAAGACCTCAAGAGAGACCATGACAGATAATTTGTGGTGGACAGCAATCAGTAAACTGGGACAACAGCAGCAGCTGAGTCCAAGGGTCAGTGTCTGGGAGTAATTTAGGAAAGTTTGGTGCTGACAGCTGTGTCTGGGACTTGAACGTCATGGCCAAACCAGCTCCTGGGCTCCTCAGCTGCTTCAGTCTAATGAACCTCTGGCCCAGGACACAAGAGGCAGCTGTGGTGTGGCTGAAGTCAGGGCCCCAGGAGGCCCAGGCTCGGCCTTGCTGCTTCCTTAGTAGTGTGACCTTAGACAAGTCACTTAGGAAAAGAGGAAAGGAAACTAGCATTCAGTGAGTGCACTGCTCTTTCTCAGCTGCCATCCTCACTGGTGAGGAGGGGGATGTTCCCATTTTACGTAAGTTCTGAAGGTAAACGCGTCATGCGAGCTCTATAACTGGGAAGGAGGAAGACAGAATTAGAACCCAGAGCTTTTGAATTCAAATCCCGGGCTGTTGGCCCTGAGCTTTAGCGTTTCTGTAAAATGGTGATAGTAATGCACTCACCCCGTACATGAAGTCCCACATTGAAGGTTCTAAACCCCTTTCTCCTTTCTCCCAACCTTGGTCCTGAAGAGCTGCGGCACCTCCCTCCCAGGAATGTAGTCATCGTATTTTGCCTCCTCCCAAAAGTTTTGTGGGGTCTGGGCCCCAGGAGGTGTCTTGAAGGGAGGGTATCTGGACTTCGGTTTTCCGTCTACCCCACTCCCCAGACCTTCTCCCGACTCTGGAGGGCCGACTCCCGCTTCTCGCCGGTGGTGACTGGCGGGCTGACAACAGCGGGTGTTCCCAGGGAAAGGATCAGGAACCCTAAGCTGCCGGGCCCAGCTCCAGGAGCTCCTTCCCCCACAGCCCAGGGCAGCCCCTTAGGTGCAGCGGCGTCGAGAGGCCGCTGGAGCTCCCAGCCCCTCCCTCTTCTCCGGGTCTCGGAGAGCAGCTCGTCTACCCCTCCAGCCCGGAAAGAGAGGGGGCGACTCGAGTCCGGGAGCGGCTCCTTGGAGACCCCGGAGATTCCTGCGCGCCACGCGGCCGCGCCTCCGAAATAGATCCCGGTTCCGGGGTTCCGGGAGCTGTCCAGCCCCGCGGGGTGAGCTGCGAGAGAGGGTGGGCCAACGCTGGCGAGGCGGAGGGAGCCGCGGGCGCCAGGCGCGGGTGCGGCGGCGACTCCCCCTCCAGCCGCGGGCCCCGGGCGTCGCCCCCGCCCCCCACGTGGCCGCCGCCGTCCCAGCCCCTCCGAGGAAGCGGCGCGGCTTCCTGCGGCTCGGGCCGGGGATATAGGCGCCCCCACGCCCGGGCAAGGCTCAGCGCCGCCGCAGCTCCTCGCCTCCTTGCTGCACGATGGCCTTGCTCCGAGCGGAGCGCACCGGCGACCCCCGCCTCCCTGCAACCCGCGCTGGGCGGCCGGCAGCGCTCCGCCTCCTCCTCCTGCTGGGCGGTGAGCGCGGCGCCCCGAGGCCCGGACGGGAGGCGCGGGAGGCCCCGGAGGGGAGATGGAAGAGGGGCTGGATGGGCGAGGCGGGAACGGGCCCCGGGGTTCCGGCGCGGACCGACGGACAGAGCAGCACTGGCCTTTGGACGGTCCCTGACCTCACCTCGGGGCGGGCGCAGCTCGAGCTGCTTCCCACTGGGGAAAGCTGGAGGGCCGGCCCCGGCCCGGCGGAGAGGGCTTGGGAGGCCGGGAGCTGGTCAGAGGGGAGGGGGCTTTGGGCCTGGGTGTCAGTGACAAGGAACTAGTGCCAGCCCCTCCCTCCCCAGCAGAGATGTCCGTGGAGTCTAGATTATTCCTCTTTTTTTTTTTTTTTTCCATGGTAGCCCTGCTTTCAGAGGGTCTCAGTCCCCCAACCTTCCCTCGCAGACCCCACTTCTGGGGTCCCCGCTATGCCACCCTCCTCTCCTGTTTCTCCCCACAGCTGTCCTGAAGCCCCAGGAGACCCTGACTCAGCCTCTTCCCACCACAAGCACACCGGGGTCAGAAGGTGGGTACCCAGGGTGTGGAAGGGTGGCCGAGGACAAGGACGAGAGCAAATTCAGTGGGGAGAGTCCCTTTCCCACGAGGCTCTCACAACCCCAACTGATGGCCCAGTAAACTCCCCTCTGTTCTCTCTTGGGGTTCCTTGTGGTCTTTCTTCCTGTCTTCCCACAAAGTCCCTTCACAGCTCTGAACTGGCCCACCTCACAGGTGGGTGAGAAGACCACAGGAAAAGGTGTATGTGGAAGTTCTTATCAGGCTGGGATGGAAAATGCTTAGCACAGGGAAGTCGTTACAGGATTCCTGAGCTGGGACTCTGTCCTCGGCCAGAACTTCTTGCGAGGGAAACTTTCTGAAGGCTTCCCCCGTTTGAAGGCAGGCGGTTCACCCTGGAAGCACCTGGGCAGGAGGGTTTGGAGGGAGGGGCAGGGCTGTGGTCATTGTGCAGCATGTGTACCTACAGTGAAGACGGTGGAGAACTATGAGGCAGCTGTCCAATTTTGCTGGAATTATTATAAGTATCAAATGGATTCTGTCGAAAAGGATTGGTGCGACTGGGCCGTGATTAGCAGGTAGGGGCAGTGCTGGAGGGTGGCTCAGGCCCGGGGCTGGGCCTGTTCATTGCAGGTAGACCTTGAGTGAATGTGGGGCACTCCTCTCCCTGGGCCCACCCCCTCACTCACTCAAGTCCTCTCCTGCCCCTAGGCCTTATAGCACCCTTCGAGATTGCTTGGAGCACTCTGCGGAGGAGTTTGGCCTGGGCTTCCCCAATCCCTTGGCAGAGAGGATCATCTTTGAGACTCACCAGATCCACTTTGCCAACTGCTCCCTGGTGCAGCCCACTTTCTCAGACCCCCCGGAGGATGTACTCCTGGCCATGATCATAGCCCCCATCTGCCTCATCCCCTTCCTCATCACTCTTGTAGTATGGAGGAGTAAAGACAGTGAGGCCCAGGCTTAGGGGGCCGCAAGCTTCTCAACAACCATCTGACTCCACTTCCCCACCCCCACCAGGCCTCCCTCCTCCCATCTCTACTCTCTTCTGTCACTCTTGCTCCCAACACAGATCCCTGGAATGCTGGAAATGGAAGCTGGGTGGGGTCATGGCACAAGTTCTGTAATCTTCAAAATAAAACTTTTTTTTGTACAATGCCCTTCTCCCCATTTCAGTGGGACCTGTGTCATTCCCTGCCACTCCCACAGGCTCTCAGTTCTGGGTAGCAGAAGCGGAAAAATCTGGATGGCCCACTGTTCTGTTCATTTCACCTGCCCCCCTGCTCCCGACCTCCATGAAGGTCACACCCCTCTATTCTTTGCTCCCAGGCGGGCCTTTCCTGCCCTTATCCAAACTCGGCTCCAGGAAACAAGCAGGAAGAGACTCCCTTCCGGTCTGGACAGCAGCTGGGGGCCTGCGACTGGGGAGGTGTGGGGGAAGGAGCAAGCGAGGAATCTCTGCTTGTGACTCCTGCAGGAGGGGTAGGAGGCTGCCCAAGGGGCCCTGACTGTTCCCTTCTTCATGCCTCAGTTTACTCCCAGGGCCTGGGAAGAGGAACCCTGACTGAGCAACAGGAATCCATCCCTAAGGACCTCACAATTGAGGGCGAAAGCAGTGGGGGCTTCCCTTACTAGGTTCACCACTCCCCTCTGTCCTCAGCCCTCATCTTACTTTGTCCTGGACTGGGTGTGGCCTGCAGCCCAGCAACACACTGCCCCCTGGTGTCCACTAAAGCAAGCAACCAGAGATGTCTGTGATCTGGAAGAAGCTCAAGGCTGAGGAGCACTGGACCCTTGGGTCCGAAAACTGCCATCTCCATAGCAACCACTGGTCTCTTGTTTTTGCTTTTGTTTTTTTGAAACAAGGTCTTGCTCTGTCACCCAGGCTGGAGTGCAGTGGCACAAACATGGCTCACTGCCCTCGACCTCCTGGGCTCAAAGATCCTCCCACCTCAGACTTCTAAGCTGGGACTACAGGCATGTGCCACCATGCTAGGCTAATTTTTTTTTTTTAAGTTTTTTTTTTTTTTTGTGCCGGGTGCGGTGGCGCGTGCCTGTAGTCCCAGTTACTCCGGAGGCTGAGGTGGGAGGATCACTTGAGTCCAGGAGTTCTTGGGTGCAGTGTGATATGCCAATTGGGTGTCCGCATTAAGTTCCGAATCAATATGGTGACCTCCCGGGAGCAGGGGACCACCAGGTTGCCTAAGGAGGGGTGAACCAGCCCGGGTCGGAAATGGAGCAGATCAAAACTCCCGTCCCAATCAGTAGTGGGATCATGCCTGTGAATAGCCACTGCACTCCAGCCTGGGCAACATAGCGAGACTCCATCTCTTATTTTTTTTAAAAAAAGGATTTTTTGTACAGATGGGGTCTCACTGTGTTGCCCAGGGTGATCTTGAACACCTGGCTTCAAGTGATCCTCCCCAGTCAGTCTCCCAAAGTGCTGGGATTACAGGTATGAGCCCGCTGCACTGAACAAACACTAGTTCTTAGCTGGACCCTTCTATCAGCTTCTTGAGACAAACAATACTCTGTTAAGATAACTTCCTAGCCAGGTGAGGTGGCTCACACCTGTAATTTCAGCACTTTGGGAGGCTGAGGCAGCTGGATCACAAAATCAGGAGTTCAAGACCAGCCTGACCAATATGGAGAAACCCCGTCTCTGCTAAAAATACAAAAATGAGCTGGGCATGGTGGTGCAAGCCTGTAATCCCAGCTTCTTGGGAGGCTGAGACAGGAGAATTGCTTGAACCCAGGAGGCAAAGGTCGTGGTGGCCAAGATCATGCCATTGCACTCCAGTCTGGTCGACAGAGCGAGACTCCGTCTCAAAAAAAAAAGATACCTTCCTACTTTCTAGGTCATACCCAGCCCCTCTCTACAACTCACCATTGTTGTGTATGAACACTCCTATATGTCCCCTGGATAATGAGGCCCAGTTCTCACCTGGTAACCTACACCTCCAGCTCTCCCTCAGACACAACTGCCAGGTCTCCAAAAACATCTACAAAACAACTTTATCCTCCATGGATACACCTGTTTACTCCTTGTGGCACCCTGAGCCTCTTTAGGGACTTTCCTTGTGTTGAAATATCTGCCACCTTGAGTGGCAGAAATGGCACATGTCCATTTCTTGGGGTATCCCTGCCTATTCTATATATGCTTGTATGCTTCCTGGAACATGCCTAATCATTCTCTGAGACACACTTCTCTCAGGCACATCTGTTTTTCTAGCCACACATATGTTCCCTAAAAATATTTTGAGTTGGCTGGGCGCAGTGGCTCACTCCTGTAATCCCAGCACTTCCGGAGGCTGAGGCAGGTGGATCACCTGAAGTCCAGAGTCTGAGACCAGCCTGACCAATATCGTGAAACCCTGTGTCTAATAAAAATATAAAAATTAGCTGGACATGGGGGCGTGTGCCTGTAGTCCCAGCTACTTGGGAGACTGAAATAGGAGAATCGCTTGAACCCAGGAGGTAGAGGTTGCAGTAAGCTGAGATTGTGTCACTGCACTCCAGCCTGGGTGACAGAGTGTGACTCAGTCTCAAAAAAAAAAAAAATTGAGTTTTCACCTGAAATACAGGTTTGCTTTATTTCCATGAAGGAAGCTGTCTTCTAAGTATATATATCTACTAGCTTTGTGGCATGTATTTGCCTTCATGCATTTTATTAATATACATCAAGAACCCGCTGGTATAAGACACTGTGTGTGATGTATTATGTTGGAAAGATAGGTTAGAAAGTCTGGTTTTCTGCCCTCAGTGGCTTTCATCTAGTGAGGAAGTTGACATTTGTACAAACTAACAAACAAAAAAAAAGAAGTGTGTGATGAGAATCACGTTAGGGATACAAACCAAATGTTAACTGAGTGCGAAGGAAGAAGGGATCATATCTGGCTGAGAAGATGCCGGGAGGTGTGATGACAGGAGGGTGATTGCAGAGTTGGTAGATGACCAGGCCTTAGCCTAGGGGAGAGAGTAGAAAGGGAGGTAAATTACAAAATTATTGCAATAATCCAGGCTGAGAAAATGAGGACATGGAGAAAAGGAGTGTTGAATGGGGAAATGGAGAATAACTATTAAGCAGAGGATATGACTAAAAACAGGAGGGAAGGGCCAGGTGTGGTGGCTCATACTTGTAATCCCAAGACTTTGGGAGGCTGAGGTGGGAGGATCACTTGAGGTCAGGAATTTAAGACTGGTCAGGGTAACATAGTGAGACCACGTCTCCACAAAAAAACAAGCCAGTCTCAGTGGCTCATGCCTGTAATCCCAGCACTTTGGGAAGTCGAGGTGGGTGGATTACTTGAGGTCAGGAGTTCAAGACCAGCCTGGTCAATGTGGTGAAACACCAAACACCATCTCTGTCTTTTTTTTTTTTTTTTTGGAGACAGAGTGTCGCTCTGTCACCCAGGCTGAGGTACAGTGATGCAGTTTTGGCTCACCACAACCTCTGCGTCCCAGGTTCAAGTGATTCTTATGCCTCAGCTTCCCAAGTAGCTGGGACTACAGGCACATGCCACCACGCCGGGCTAATTTTCATATTGGTAGCAGAGACAGAATTTTGCCATGTTGATGTTGACCAGGCTGGTCTCGAACTCCTGAGCTTAGGTGATCCACCTGCCTCAGCCTCCCAAAGTGTTAGGATTACAGGCGTGAGCCACTGTGCTCAGCCCAAAACCCTGTCTCTACTAAAAATACAAAAATTAGGCCTGTGCAGTGGTTCACACCTGTAATCCCAGCACTTTGGGAGGCCAAGGCGGGCATATCACCTAAGCTCAGGAGTTTGAGACTAGCCTGGTCAACATGGTGAACCCCTGTGTCTACTAAAAATACAAAAATTAGCCAGGCATGGTGGCGCATGCCTGTAATCTCAGCTACTCTGGAGGCTGAGGCAGGAGAATCACTTGAACCTGGGAGGAGGAGGTTGCAGTGAACCGAGATTGCACCATTGCACTTCATCCTGGGTGACAGAATAAAATTCAGTCTCGAAAAAACAAAAACAAAAACTAGCTGGGTGTTGTGGCACATGCTTGTAGTCCCAGCTACTCTGGAGGCTGAGGCAGGAGAATCGCTTGAACCTGGTAGGCGGAGGTTGCAATGAGCCAAGATCACGCCACTGCACTCCAGCCTGGGTGACAGAGTGAGACTCTGTCTCAAAAACAAACAAAAACTCAACTAGGTGTAGTGGCACACGTCTGCAGTTCCAGCTACCTGGGAGGCTGTGGTGGGAGGATCAGGAGTTCAAGGTTATGGTGAGGTATAATTGGGCCACTGCACTCCACCACAGGCAACCCTGTCTCTAAAAACAAAAAATAAAATAAAAAATACTGGCGGGGCATGGTGGCTCACTCCTGTAATCCCAGCACTTTGGGAGGCTGAGGTGGGTGGATCACCTGAGGTCGGGAGTTCAAGACCAGCCTGACCAACATGGAGAAACCCTGTCTCTACTAAAATAAATACAAAATAAAATTAGCTGGGCATGGTGGCACATGCCTGTAATCCCAGCTACACGGGAGGCTGAGGCAGGAGAATTGCTTGAATTTGGGAGGTGGAGGTTGCAGTGAGCTGAGATCACCCCATTGCACTCCATCCTGGGCAACAAGAGCGAAACTCCATCTCGAAAAAATAAACAAATAAATAAAATAAAATACCAACAGACCCTTGATGTATATCATGTATATAAAATGCAGGAAGGCAAACACATGCCACGAAGGGAGTAGATATGCCTTTAGGTAAGACAGACACATTCATGGAAATAAAGCAAACCTGTATTTCAGGTGAAAACTCAAAATATTTTTAGGGAATATTTTCCACTTCCCCATTCAACACTCCTTTGCTCCACATCCTCATTTTCTCAAGCCTGGATTATCTCAATAATTTTCTTTTTTTTTTTTTTTTTTTTTTTTTTTTTTTTTTTTTTGAGACAGAGTTTCGCTCTTGTTACCCAGGCTGGAGTGCAATGGCGCGATCTCAGCTCACCGCAACCTCCGCCTCCTGGGTTCAGGCAATTCTCCTGCCTCAGCCTCCTGAGTAGCTGGGATTACAGGCACGTGCCACCATGCCCAGCTAATTTTTTGTATTTTTAGTAGAGACGGGGTTTCACTATGTTGACCGGGATGGTCTCGATCTCTTGACCTCGTGATCCACCCGCCTCG